GAGTGAGTGAGTGAGTGAGTGAGTGAGTGAACGTGTGTTCCCTCTGAGTTAAACATCAAAGGGTTAAAAGTCCATTTTCCTGGGAGAGTGGCCTTGCACAGACCCAACCCCAGGCTGGCCCAGGTCCCTGCCAGAGCAGTGTGTGGTCAAAGCAGGGCTGTGCACTCCAGCCAATTCCATTTTTCCTTGCAGCAGCCAGGGCTCGGGGAAGAGCTGCTGCAGCCAACACGAGGGAGACGTTTGTCCCAGAGGACTCCGCCAGCGTAGGGTCGGAACCAAATGCAGCACAGATGTGGTGTGTACACCTTCCAGAGCCAGCTACTTCCTTTTCCTCTTCTCCACGTGTTTGTAGTGGGGGTTGCAGAGCATGGTGAACAGGAGCAGCAGCGGGATCAGCAGGTAGGGCAGGTAGATGGAGAGCAGCACCAGGCGCTCACGCAGCGTCTGAGGGCCCGCATGCTCCGACTTGGAGAAGTCATGGAACAGGATGTGGGCCAGGATGGCAAACAGAGTGGTGGCTACGTGGGTGGAGTAGATAATGGAAGGAGTCCTGATCCATCTGCAGCCACCTGCAGAAGCAAAAAGGAAATAATACTTAAGTATTTTGAAACAACCAGAATTCTGAGGCTTGTGACAGAACACTGACTGCTGCCTCTCTGCCAGGGTAAGCCATCACTCAGATTGAATAGGGAGCAGAAATAACCCTCAGTACTAGTAGGAACCAAGGAAATTTCTCTCCCCGATAGCAATTTAGAACAAAGGGGCGATCCCAATAGTTTTAAAGTAACAAAAGGAGTACACAGGCTTGATCCAGACCTTTAGCTGCCCTGGAAATTAGCCAGATGTCAAATGCTGATGCTGGTTACACAAATGGCTGCACCTGACAAGGGCCTGTAGTTATAAGGTTTTGTTCCTGACAAACTTTATTCTGTGCTGCTTTCTCAGGCAGAACACTCGCAAGGGCCCTAGCAGCCTGGCCCTCCACAGTACACCCCTCAAACCCCCTAATCATGATAGGGAAACGTTCTCTGCTGCAGCAGCAGCAGGTGTCCTACAAAAATGCCCCCAGGATACATCCTCAATCACCCCGGTTTCCCCCCACCTTTCAGGAAGGCGTAGGCGGCGATGGGGAAGAAGGGCAGCTGGAGAAAAGCTTCACAGTAGATGAACGCCTTGAACCACTCTGGGGGCTGCAGCATCATGGGGTCCCTGAAGGCAGTTGCATATTGCTGCAACAGGTCTGTCAGCTGAAAAAATCCAAACCCCAAAACAACAGTCAGTCACTGAGCATCCACTACTGCAGGGCAAAGCTCGTGATTCTCGATGGGATGAGGCCAGCAGGGTGGGAGTCCCTGGTCCTGAGCAGGGCTGGGGGCTCATTCTCGGGGCTGCTGCAGGGGAACAACTCAGCACCAGGATTTGGGCTCTGTCCGTTGCAATTGGTTTCCCTGACAGAAATGTAAACTCCAGCATGGCTGTACGGTGGACTTTGACCTGAGAGATATGCATTGAGATTTGCTGGTTAACTATTAATTGAAAAAAGTTCCTATACTGGAGTACTCCTACAGGCAATTCCGATGGCAAAAACCAAATCACCAGTTGTAAAGCTCAAACAGGAGGTGACAGCCAACCACACCCTGACGATGAGGGCTGAACTAATTATCTGCCACCCAACCGTTATTTTAATTGATTTTATGATGTTCATTTTCTTCCATTATTTTGTTCAAAACCCAGCAAACCAGAGATTTTTACTAATAAATTCGGCCGCTGGCAGGCGTGCTCCTGCAGCGGCAACAATTCCCTGTTGCGTTTTAGGCAGGAATTTGAGGAAAACTCGGGATGGGAGAATGGCCGGGGCCGCAGGAGCCACGTCCCGAGCACGTGGCGCCGGCCCCGCTCTGCCGCAGCCTCAGGGCGCCGGTGCCGAGGGCGACAGCGGGACAGCGAGGCCATTCCCAGGGAAAGGATGTCCTTATGGCAGTTGTGAAACACCGTCAGCCCGCTCTGGGCAGAGGAACATCCCCCCTGCCATTCCCGGGGGGAGCAGTGACCCCGCACTCGTTCCCCGGGGGCCTCCCCGGAACGGGGACACGGAGCGGCCGCATCCCGGTCACGGCTTCCAGCAGCAGCATCAGCCACAGACCGACCGCGCGGATGAAGCTTCCCTCTCCCATTCCCGTTCCCTCTCCCAT